CTGCAGATCGTTTGAGAGAGAACTGACATTTCCACAACATTATGTCTCTGATTCCCCGAATAGAGTTTATCTAGAGTCTATTCCCCGAATAGACTTAATGTCTCCTAGTAGTGTTTTGTAATTTTCAGGTTTTTTTCTTAATTAAAATATTTTATGATTTTTTTCTTTGTGTGTGTGGACATGTCTGTTGTCTACCTGTGAGTGCACACATGCACTCTACCTCCCAAATTTGTGGAGTTTAGAAGTGTACCACTGTGACTGGTTTTAAATGATATGTAAATGGTAAATATATAATCTTTATATGTATGGTAGTTTTTGCCTGCACGCATGTGTGTGCACTACATGCATGTCTGGTGCCCATGGAGGCCAGAGGAGGGCATCAGATCCCCTGAGACTGAAATAACACCCAGTTGGGAGCTACCATGGTAATGTAACTACCGTGTGGGTTTTGGGAACTGAACCGGGGTCCTTTAGAAGAGCAGGCAGTGTTCTTAACCACGGAGCCATCTCTCCAGTCCCCTGTAAATGATACTTTAAAACACTATGTATGGCAGCAGTAGAGAGGCACAACCGGCTTTTATATGAGGAACTCACATTCAAAGATCTTGCTGAATCTATGTGATAACATCTCCATGGCACTCCCTGCTGTAGAGGAGAGACTCCAGTGTTTCTCCTTAAAAATGTGAGTTTAAACCGGGCAGTGGTGGTGCCTGCCTTTAATCCCAGCACTTAGGAGGCAGGGCAGGTGGATCTCTGTGAGTTCCAGGCCAGCCTGGTCTACAAGAGCGAGTTCCAGGACAGGCTCCAAAGTTACAGAGAAACCCTGTCTCGAAAAACAAACAAACAAACAAACAAACAAACGAGTTTATTCTATTTTTCTATAATATCTTTAAACTTTTATTTAATTTGAAATTTCTATATATATACATATATCGACACACATATATGTGTATATATATTATATGTATGACTTCTCAAATAGTCACATTCTTTATTTTTACTTAAAAATTTTTATTTGGGGGCTTCAGAGAGGGCTCAGCAGTTAAGAGCCCTGGATGCTCTTCCAGAGGTCCTGAGTTCAATTCCCAGCAACTACATGGTAGCTCACAACCATCTCAAAAGGATCTGATGCCCTCTTCTGGCATGCCCGTGTACATACAGAGCACTCATACATAAAAATATAAATAAATTTAAGAAATTTAAAAATTATTTGTATGTATATATGTGCACACACGTGTGTGAGTGTACCAGAAGGTGTTGGGATCCTCTGTTAGAGGCAGTTATGAGCCTTCCAGCATGGGTGCTGGGAACCAAAGTCCATCCTCTACAGGAGCAACAAGTGCTCTTTGAAATCGATTTCCAGATTTCCCAGCATTCAGTGCAACGTTGTCTCTGTGAGATCACACCCGACTCTGGCCCATTCTCCGTATCTAAATTTCCACCTTCTTCTCACTTCTTCTTGCTCCACCCTGACCCCACAACCACCGTTTGGTTCTCTGCTGCATTCTTTCCTTTGCATAGCCCAGCACCTCCGCGGTCTTTTTCTTACCTGGCCTGTTTCCTTTGCCGGAGAGACCTCCATTCTTTTCCCCTGAGGAACTCAAGAGGAATTTCCCAATCCATTTCCTTCTCTTGAATTTGGGTGTTAGAAATAGACAAAGTTTGCTGCCATCAAGGCCAAGCTCGCCTCTTGCTCCAAAGGGAATTAAGAGATAGTTCATTGTGATTAGTCTGGGAGTCTCATGGGCTTGTGAGTTCGAGTTGCTCTGAATGACAACGTTTCACTGTGGAAACATTCCATGAACTTTTATAGTCACAGAACAAAGGGCAGTCTAAAGGAAGGCATTTTCAGACACCTTGCCAGGGACAGCAGTCAGATGGGATGCAGGAAAGCGGAGACAATGCTCCTCAAGTCTCAGATGCTATCTGAGGGAATTCTTAGCTTTAGGGTTGGTAGAAGCCAGTGGTCTGCTAAGCAAACACACTCCAAGGGCTTTGCTTGTTAGCTGAAAGACCATTAGGTCCAACCAAGAGGCACGTGATAAATGACCACTATGGGATTAAAGATAGCTCAAGACGATTTGGGTTTTGATCTGCAACATTCCAATACACAGACACACAGACACACAGACACACAGACACACAGACACACACACACACACACACACACCGCACCCTGTAAGGGTCTAGTCATTTTATAAAATCTTCAACACAGGTGAGGATTTGTGTGGTGTGTGCGCCAAGGGGCTTCATTCCACATTACTCAGAGGAGAAAAAGGTAAACATGGGGTCTGATAAATAGCTCTATTCAAATATGATTTTTTTCTCTTCCAAATAATAACTTTGAGCAATTATGTTCATTTATATCTATAATATATGTAATGTTCCTACTCATTTCTCTGAAATCCCAGAACTTGAGGCTAGGGCAGCAGAATTTGAGGCTAGCCTGGTCTACACAATGAAACCTTGACTTGGAAAACAAAAGGAAGCAAGCAAACAAGAACAAAACAAAGGAAGGAAGGAGAGAGGGAGGAAGGGAGGAAGAAAGGGAGGAAGGAGAGGAGAAGAGGGAGGAGGAAGCTCATTCTTGTCAGCCAGGAAATCCTCTAGCTTGTTTACTCCTTTCCTCATATACCTTAAAAAGTTGTCTTTCAGGCTAGACAGAGGAAGGAAGCCCTCCTGGTGGCTAGCTCTCCAACACTTGCCCCAGAGAACTCGCTCACTCGCTCACTTGGTGCGAGCAGTGCTGAGGATGCTGGGAGACCGTTTGACCTCTGCTTTGCCTCCTGTTGGCTTTTGATTGTCTGTGGTCTGTTCAGCACTGTCCAATCATTTAGGTTCACAATCAGCCTTTCATGACCCTGGTCACTGTGGGGGTTATGACAGAACGTTCTAGAAAACCGTCTAAGGTGCTCAATTAGGAGAAAGAAAGGAAAGCTTGAAGAGCCAAGTCTCCTATCATCATCTCAATAAATGGGATCAGAAACGTAGTCAGAGGTAAGGAAGGACCTGTAAGCATGGAGGACTTTATAAGTCTCTGCCTTTCCTTCCTTTCTTTTTTTCCCTTCCTTCCTTCCTTCCTTCCTTCCTTCCTTCCTTCCTTCCTTCCTCCCTCCCTCCCTCCCTTCCTTCCTTCCTTCCTTCTTCTCTGGTTTTTCAAGACAGGGTTTCTCTGTGTAGTCCTGGCTGCCCTGGAACTCACTCTGCAGACCAGGCTGGCCTCAAACTCGCAGAGATCCACCTGTTCCTACCTCCCGAGTGCTGGGACTGAGAACGTGTGCCACCACATCAGACAGTCCCTGTCTTTTTATTTATTCATCCATTTTACAACCCGACCTCTGTTTCCCCTTCTTCCTCTCCACTCAGTCCCACCCCAACTCTCTCCTTTGTGCCAAGGAACAAACCCCTCCCCCACCCGCCCCTCCTCCATTTCTATTCAGAGGAGGGCAGGCCTCTCATGATATCAACCAAACATAGGTTATCATAGCTGCTTTATTCATAATAGCCAAAAACTGGAAACAACCGAGATGTCCCTCAACTGGAAAATGAATAAAGAAATTGTGGTACGTTAACACAGTGGAGTATTACTCAGCTGTTAAAAACAATGACATCAGGAAATTTACAGGCAAATGGTTTCGTCTCTGTCTTTTGTCCTCAGAACAGCTGAGGGCTAAACCTGAGGCTCAGTCACCTAGGTGGATGGCACTGCCCAGCCGAGTGCTGACCTGCCCTTCCATGGGGCTGTCTGCTTGGCACTGGGGGTGGCCCTTTGGTCATCTTAACAAAAAGAGTGTCCTTGGGCCCTCCGTTCTTCGGTGACACCCTTGTGGTTCTGGCTCTGCTCAGTTGCAAGCTGTTCTCTCCATCTCTGTGGCCGTACCACCAGGGCCACCTGATCGCCACCTCCAGATCGAGTTACTGAGGCACCACGGTGATGCCGCTGGCCTCGGTGACAGAGTCGACAAGGCTGAGTGACTCGGTGGCAATACTTTCCTGCTGGACTCCCCTTTGCCAGCTGCTTACCCTCCCGCTCATGTTTATAATGAGAAAGGAAATTATTACTGCTTCAAATGATGGCGGCTCCAGAAATAGTAAGTGAGGGGCCCAGGGAGGGACACTTCCAGGACGTGCTCTGAGCTACTTCTCCCCTTGCCTATGTGGGACCTGCCAACCAAGGCCTGCTTGGGAGGGGATACACCCCCCCCCAGGGCCGATTTTCCAGAAAACTTAGAGTTTACAAATGTTGTGAAAAACAAGGTTCGTTTTTAATGCTGTGTAGCTCCATTTGGGATACGGACAAACACAACAGGTAGCCAGGAAGGTGGTGACATAGATTCCTTATTGGAGCTCCCCAGCCTTCTGGGGCTTCTGTCAACCTCAGCGTTGGTGGAAGCAGATTCCTACACACCCTGACTGTGCATTCGGGAGGACTGGCCGGGGACTCACCTGGGAGCACCCTGCATATCTGTGCTTGTTCAGCCCTCTCTGGAAAAGTCTCTACTGTAGGAACCAGAGCCCTGTGTGGGTTTGGCCTGAGGCAGAGGCTCCCAGCCACTCCTCGCTTGGCTGGGTGGCCCAGGTCCCCAGGGCTCGGATACTTTTGTTTTCAATCAGGTCATGCCTGCATGAGCCAGGAGAGGACTGTGTTTGTGGGGCGCTACTAACAGTGCGATTGTGCCCTTCCTCTCGTGTTACCTACACAAATTGAGTCTCAGAACATCTTACGTCTGTGACAGGCAAATCCTATGGCTAGAAAGACAATCAAAATGTTGAAGGACAGAAGAACAGCGTCAGAAATCACTCACATACTCACGGTCTTCTAAGACAAATGACCGAGTGCTTCTGTCTGGCCAAGGGGCTTGTCTTTAACGGTGCCACTTGATTGGTTCTAAGATTGGCTACGCAGAGGGCGCCATTGTTGTTACTGGAGAGGAATCAAAATTCCGCCCTGTTATCAACTCTAGAAGCCGCTCTGCTATTGACCGCGGCCCAGGGAAAGTTGTGTTCTCAGTAGACCGGTGTTTGGGACAAACCCCCAGGGAGTGGGCTTCGTGTCTGACTGAAAGGATTTCAAATGGGACAGAGGCACCCCCAGCGCCCACACTTCCCGCAGGGACCAATCTCGCCTACTCCTGGCTAAGCAGGTGGAGGTGGAGCCGGAAGCCAGCACCAGAGGCCCTGAGATAGTCACCATGGGGGAGAATGATCCTCCGGCAGCTGAAGCCCCCTTCTCCTTCAGATCACTCTTTGGCTTGGATGATTTGAAAATAAGTCCTGTGGCACCAGGTAGGTGGGGCTTGGCGACGCGGGCTTGTGCGGAAGTGGTGCATATGGTCAAGGGTCTCTGTGTGCCTGTGTGTGTGGGGAGGGGGAGTGGGGAGAGCGGGAATCTCCTTGTACACGCTCTCACTCTTTCTTTCTCTCTCCCACCTCCCTCTCTGTCTTTTTCTCTTCCCTTCTCCTTCTCTCTCTTATGTACTGGAGGTTGAACCAGGTCTCACACACACTAGACGGGCACTCTGTGACTTTGCGGTCCCCCACCTTCCCTGGGTATTTTCGCATTAGGAGCCCAACACCTCTGGCTCCTGATCTTGCAAAACCACAAGAATTAGAGGGCGCTCAGGAGGAAGAGCCCTTTTGTTACTGGGAGCTTGCTAAGTCCCTGGAGACAGTTTTTTTTTGTTGTTGTTGTTTATTTTGTTTTCTTCCCTTCTTGGAGGTTTTCAGAGACCCAAGCTTCACCTTGGCTCTGAATCATTCAGAAGGAGGGCAAATGCTGGCTAGAAAACGCTAGCCCTCCAGGAAGTCCTTAGAAACAGTGGCCACAGCCCCTGCAGACAACTCAGGCAATCTATATGTCACCAAGGGTTAAGTGCCTGGTTAAAATGAGTGCTGTAGCCACCAAGAGAAGGGACGTTGGTTCCTTAAATCACATGCCTACTAGGTAAGGCATTTCCCCCCTGATTCCTGTTTCTATGGGGTCTTTGTGCTGAGAGTCTTCTGTGGCTTGCTGGTCTGGAGAGACCAGCTCAGGAGCAAGGAGGGGCTGGGGCAGGGGGAGGGAAGGACAGTTCCGGCTGTAGCTCTGAACAGCCAGCATCCAGGAGCCCCTAAGGATTCCTTTTAAGCCATCTGGATGACTACAGAGTACGAAGGGCAGAGTGGGAGGAGTGGGTTCGTGAAATCGGAAAAGACCCCTAGGAGGTCCATCCCACGTGTACCACAGCGAGGCTGCGGATTTCCTGCTGCCCTTTCGTCGGCTGCTCAGGCTGCTTCCTGTTTGCCAGTTTCAGGAACGGCACCCTCCATGGGGTGTGTGGAGACAGGCATCTGCGTACACCCATGACAACGTTTAGGATACATTCCCAGAAGTGACATTATTGGGTCAAAAACTGCGTCTTCTTTCAAGCTGTGTAGATACAGCTCCCATCTCATATAATTGGGAAGTGGATGTGTCCCACCCGTGCACCATGTGAGAAGCCCATGGTTCCTTCCGCTGTGAGCACCCATGGGTGCAGTACCAGCAAAGTCATTGTGAAGTCAGGATGAATTCAGGTTCATTTTCTGTTTGTTTATTTCTGGGAAAAGGCCAGCTTCGGATAATTTGAGAATGCCCAGTACCCTTCTTGCTTCAAACATATGGTGTAACACCTACAAGTCACACTACCCTCTCTGGACAAATCCTCGGGACCTGGGACTTCCTTCAACTATTCTCCAGGGTTGTTGGGACAAAATGTCACAGCTAGGTCAATCAACAGAGTCTCCTTGCCTCCTTTGTAGGGGCTGGAAGCATGAAAACCCCCATGTCAGTAAGGCCTTGTTCCCTTGGATGCACACAGGACCCTCCAGGCCTTGTGTAGATAGTGACCTTTGGCCAACAGCCTTTGGGGCTCCTTGAATTGTGGACATGTCCTCGGCCTTCATCTTCACGAGGATATCTGTTCCTCTCTTCCCTTCTTGTCATCTCTCTTCTATGCATGTCCGTATTTGTGTTGGAATTTCCCCCTTCCCAAGGACACCAGTTGTACAAGATTAGTGCCTGTTCTAAGGACTTCATCTTAACTTGTGCCCTCTGTGATCCCAAGTAAGATCCCATTCTTGGCTGTTGGGGATTAGGCTCCTTTGGAGGATACCTTTCAACCCACAGCAATGTCTCCTAAGCTGGGATGGAGAGCTAGGCCGTAGCTGGGAGGGTGAGACTGACCTAGACAACATGGCCATTCATCTAATGAAGAGCTGTCTATGGGCTGGTACGTTCTCTGTACAGAGGGGACCGGGGACACATGACTAGCTCTAAGATCTATGTCACTCAAAGTTGGTGCTCCTCGGCTCCCACCCTCCCCAACTCCTCTGGTTCAGATGCAGACGCGGTGGCTGCACAGATCTTGTCCCTGCTGCCCTTGAAGTTTTTTCCGATCATCGTCATTGGGATCATTGCCTTGATACTGGCGCTGGCCATCGGCCTGGGCAGTGAGTACCGTCCATTATTTAGTAGGCGCTCGAATACCTGCCCCGGCATTTAAACTTGCATGAGTCCCGCCACCCCCACCCCGACTGTACTTGCTGTTGCCCGGCCTTAATTAATGGTGGCTGATGTCCTTTTGATTTGATGGCTATGGGGTTCATCTGCCTGCGTGAATGTCAAGCCAGTGTGGGAACAGGCAGGGGCTGCTGGCTGTGCTCCGGGGTCTGCCACTAGGGTACCTGCCCAGTTAGAATTACTCAAAGGCAGCTGATGAAACAGGACTCTGGGATGGGAAGGGGGAGCATGGGGTGGAATGGACAAAGACTTCCATTCAAGTCATACCACATTCCTTGGCTAGTTTTATAAGGAGGTATGCGGGGCTTTTGAAAAAGTGGGTCATAGGGAGGAAGGGGCTCTCTTCGAGTATACAGTTTCTCCTTTTCTCCTTGAAGTAACTGCAGCACAGGGCAGCATACACTGCCTCCTGCTCAGGCGTGTGTTCCACAGTTGATTGGCTTCAGGCTCAGAGTGAAAGGAAGCAGGGTGGTTGAAAGGTCTCAGCTGAGGCTCTTGTTGGGCTGACTCAGTGTGTTGGCCACCACCATGCAGTTTTGCTCCTGACTTTGAACCCTTAGAGTCTGAATGCACCCTGATTTGTGCTTCCTGGAAGTAGTAATACCATGGCTGCAACAGTATCACCCCTCGGAGTTCAGGCCAGAAACGGGGCTGAAGGAAACAGGCCGCTGTCAGGGATGCAGTTTCAACGCAGGTCTCATTATTGATGGGCAAGTTCAAGGCCACGTGGCAGGTGCACAGGTATCAGTGCTGTACACCCAAGGGGCCGCTTGTTAGCGGTCTCATTTCCTCCCCTCCCCAGTCCACTTCGACTGCTCTGGGAAGTACAGGTGCCATTCGTCTTTCAAGTGCATTGAACTGATGGCTCGGTGCGACGGGGTCTCTGACTGCAAGGACGGGGAGGATGAGTACCGATGCGGTGAGTTGTGCCCCGTCACTGAGGCGTAGCCACTGCCCTGCCCTGTCCTCAGCTGGGATGTGCCTAGCTAGGTTCTGGGAGGATTACTCTGTGTGTTTGCATTCACCTGGGGGACTAGACAGGTTCTGTCTCTGGGTGCAGGCCATGGGAACTGCAGCATCTTGTCTGGGAGGAGCTCTGGGAGGAGCCAGTCAGATTGGAAGAGGGGGTGCATGGAGTGAGTGGGGCTGTTGTCAATCTCTGCCCAGCCTCAGCCTGCACTGGTCCTCACTGTCCATCTCCCCATGTCTGGCCAGTGCGGGTGAGTGGCCAGAGAGCCGCGCTCCAGGTGTTCACGGCCGCTGCCTGGAGGACCATGTGCTCCGATGACTGGAAAAACCACTACGCCAAGGTTGCCTGTGCCCAGCTGGGGTTTCCCAGGTGAGTCAAGGCCAAAGGGCAAGGAGGACAGAATGAGGACAGATTGCTACTGGACAGTCAAGAGCTAACTAGGTGCTTCAACGTGTCACACTTCACTCTTACGGCAACCTTGTGGCACTTGGCCCTGTCTTTCTTCACAGGGAGCAAGACAAAGCCGGAGCAGCCAGGTGACTCTGAGTCACACAGAACGTTGTGTGTGAAGGGACTTCTCAGGGCTAGGCCAGGACTTTAGATGCAAAAGCAACTGACTTCCTTGGGCCTGGGGCTCAGCTGGTAGAGTACTGACCTAGTATAAACAAAGCCATGGGTTCTGTTCCAGCACTGCCACAACCAGGCACGGTGGCACACATGCAATCCCTGCACTGGGGAGGCAGAGCCTGGAACAATGTGCGTTCTAGGCCAGCCTGGGCTACATGGAGAGTTTGGGATTGGCTAGAGCTGAATAGTAAGTTTCTAATCAACAACAACAACAGAAACAATGAATCAATCAATCAAACCAAAGCAGCCAAACAAAACATGCAAATCTTAAAAAAAAAAAGTAACAGATATCTGTTTATAAGCCCAGAACTTCTGGCTCGGTGCTTTTCAGCATAAAGAGCAGACGTTGGAACCTTATTGCACATGGTCACGCTGGTCACGTGCATGTCTGCTCACACATCCTCAAGAGACCCTAGGATACCATTATTCAGAAACACCCGTAGCCTTAGGAGACCATCTAAGACAGTGTCTTCCCATCTTCAGGGTTGGGAGTCAGTTCCTGGCTGTCCACACTGCAACTACACGCTTTTGCCCAACTGGGGGCTCCCTCTCTTTTATGGTCGTTCCTCCTGACCCCCGCCTTGTTTCTCAGGGTCCCATTCCCTCTTAACTTCTCAGTTCTGTAGGTCCCAGCTTACCACAGGCAGGTTCCCAAGTTTCCACGTGCATCTAGGAACTGAGCAAAGATCAACAGTGGCACACTCGGAAGTGCATCCTAGTTTGTAACTAAGAAAGCGAGGCCCTCAAAACTATGGGACCACCACCATCTGTGGAGGATCCAAGCCAGTGGCATCCTAGGCGCCCCACAGCTGAGGCCCTGCAGCCATGCCTCCTCTGTACACCATGCCTTCCTGGGTCCCCAAACAAGGTGCAATGAAAATCCCATGACAGTTGCGAAGGTCACTCAGAGACAGTGTTGAAAGTTATGTAGGTTTACTCCTTAGATAAAAGGAGGAGATTCAAACAGCACAAAACACACTCATGGATGCAAGCAGACATGTACACACATGTGCACACACACAGATACACACACACACACACACACACACACACACCAAACAGCCCCAGTTTCCCCATCAGGTATCTCTGTTTCCTGTCAATCTCTTTCTCAGTCCCTTTCTTCTTTCTGGAATATTTCCCCCTTCCAAATCTCAAACCTTTGCCATAATGCCTGGGCACACCCTGCTCAAATCCTCTGCGTGCCTTGTGGACCCTGGAAAGGAACTTCAGGTCTTCAGGCATGTCAGAGCCACTTGACAGGGCGGACAGCTCCTGGTTCTAAATCCCACCCTAGTCTCCGTTTCTCCCTGAGAGTATGGTAGGGACACAAGTTGACCCTGTACCCTTTCTCCCAGACAAGGAACGCAGCACCAGCCCCTTGCCCTGGCCTCTCTGACTTTATTCTATGCTCTTGTTTATTCTTCCCTTCTCTGTCCTTCGAAGCTCCCTCTCCTCTGCTACATCTCATATCTGGAATAGCAGCAGCAAGCAAAAAAACCAACAAATCAAACCCAAACCCAAATCAGACAATCAAGCTAGTTGGCTCGAAGATTGGTGCTGATTCCAGGCAGTCTTATGAAACTTGCCCAGTCTCCTCCCTTAGAATGGACAATGTCAGTGCCTGTCTTAAAAGGCTGAGGGAGCTCAGTGGTCACTAGGGAGTAGGAGTAATCATGGCTGTGATGGGGGTGGCTGTTGCTCTGAGGCGATCTGTGGGCTCCACCTGTGACACTTAGGCTCCTTCCGCATTTTACGAGACCCCGCTCATCACCCTGCCCACCTTCCCCATCACCTGACATCCCAGCAAAAACCGACTCCTTCACACCAAGGCGGCCTGCTGCAGCCTCCCCTGGGAGGCAATGCCTGGAAAACATCTTGATGGCATTTTCTTCAAACCCATGCTTGGCTGAACATTGCACTGTACTTGCATGAGTGGCTGAGGCACTTAACAGCAATTGAATGGCATCCTGCGCGACAAACTGCCGGGTTAGTGAGGAGTTAGCCACCTGCAGAACACTTTGTCCCCCCACCTTCCTTGGGGACTCCTTCAGTGCTACTTTTCTTTTTCCTTTTCTATTTCTGGGTACATGCTGAGCTATTCTACTCTGTTCTGGTCTCCTCATATCTCTCTTCTGCACCATGGATGTATATGCCTGTCTCCTGACACTGAGCCCATTTGCTTGCTCCCAGGGTCCTCAAGTCACTGCCTTCCACGACAGGGTTAGACAAAGTGGGACAGGCTCTCATAGTTCCCTAACTCTGGGTCCTCAGGAGCTAGACATCTAGCTGCCTCCCCTGAGGCTTGACTCCAGCCAAACCAAGTGCACCAGAGAGGGGTGGGTGGGGACTTCCTAACCGTGGCAGGAAGTGGTCTTTCTTTGTGACTGGAGCTAGGTGGGTGGGCCAGCCAGGCTGGTGAACTGTGGGACAGCAAGCTAGCCCCCAGGCCACAGCCAGCCTGGAAGGCTTGGCTAAGGTGTCTGCATTTCCTCAGCAACATGAAGCCTTTGATGGTTTTGGGAATAACCAAGTGAGGTCTCCCAAGTGTGATGCTGGTAACCTGGTGAGCGTGTGTAGGGTGACTGATATTTTGGAGTCACCGTGACTATTGGGTCTGAGTTTCCGATGTGCCTGCAGCTATGTAAGCTCGGACCACCTCAGAGTGGACGCCCTTGAGGAGCAGTTCCAGGGTGACTTCGTGTCCATCAATCACCTCTTGCCAGATGACAAGGTGACCACGCTGCACCACTCTGTGTACATGAGGTAAGCAGTGAGGTAGGTGCTACAGCTGACTGCATGGGTGCTGAGTCACAGCGCTCCACGAGGGGGAAGTAATGGTGGAGCTCACTGCTACGGTTAGAATGGTGGTGCATAAGCTGGGGTGCAGGGGTGAACCCCCAACCCTGGAAAGCATGGTTCTGTGCATGTGTGTGGGGGGGAGGGAGGAAGAAGTGCAGTAGAAGAACGACAGTGATGCCTGATGACAGGCAGGTGTGTCATCAGGCCAGTTCTGGGCCTGCCTCACAGCAAGGAATATGTCTGTGTGCGTGTGTGTGTGCGCATGTGTATGCGTGTGCGTGCGTGTGCATGCGTGTGCATGCGTGTGTATGTGTTTATGTGTGTGCCTGTGTTTGTGTGTGTGCGCATGTGTGTGCATGTATGTGTATGTGTTTGTGTGTACATGCATGTGTGTGCCTGTGTTTGTGTGTGTGTGTGTGTAAGCAAACAAGCAGGGAAGGGAAGAAGAAGTTAGACAGCATCCTTTACAAAGTGCTTTCACATTCACCAGTTGCCCCCTCCCCCCCGCCACCCCATAACCCCAAAACTCTGATCAAGGAAAACCAGGTTCCCTTAGCAACAGTCAGGTACCCAGACCTGAGACATCTCAACTGGAGCCCAGGCAGAAGCAGGGAGGAAATGCGGCAGGTGCCCTGTAGCCAGGCTTTCCTCTGGACACCCAGGCCCCCAGTCCGGCATGTGTGACCCCTGCTCTGCCAACAGCCACTTGTTGGCTGTTCACAAACTGTTCTTTCCACTGCAGGGAAGGCTGTGCCTCGGGACGCGTGGTCACCTTGAAGTGCTCCGGTAAGTGTCTAAATAGGTAGGGAGCAGCCTGGCCTTGTGGAGTCATGGCCTCCCTTCGGGGACAACTCAAGGCCCCCTCCCCTAGATGCCAGTATGGGGCTAGGCACCAAGAGGTCCCTGATGGGCAGGGTGAGCATGCCTGCCATGTGGCCTCCCACAAACCCCACATACCTCTGAGTTTTTGTATGCCTGACCCTCTCCTGGTGGGTAGGGAACAGGAATAGTGCCAGGTAGGGGGTTCAGGGTGCTGACAGCATTATCCATAAGCCCTTGTTCTCCTTCTATAGCCTGTGGCCTGAGAACTGGCTACAGCCCTCGCATTGTGGGTGGAAACATGTCCTCGCTTGCCCAGTGGCCCTGGCAGGTCAGCCTCCAGTTCCAGGGGTACCACCTGTGTGGGGGCTCCGTCATCACCCCTCTGTGGATCGTCACCGCTGCACACTGTGTTTTCGAGTAAGTGCCTGGGCCTGCTGTTGTGGGTTCTGCTCTTCACAGAACCTTATCTAGTCTTGGGTCAGATGGAGATGGGGTGATCTGGGCCTGAGGGCAGACAGGAAAGCAGGAAGCCAGACACCATAGAGCCACGTGTGGGTGCGAATGTCAGTCCTCACAGTGGACCGCTCGCTCTCTGTGGGAGTGACATGAGCTGGGCTGGCACAGAAAAGGTAGAAAAGGAGGAAGATGGGGCAGAAAGAAACCTTAAGCCTCCCAGGCCTTCCTGTAGCTCATTACTGTCATCTGTGTTATGGCATAGCAAGGTACCATGGGGTGGAAGTGCAGGGCACCCAGAGAATACTGCACCCCCACCAAGCTGGGTCTGGCAAATGTTCAGATGGCAAGGAAGTCACAGAAAGCATCCCAGACCCAGCGACTGATTCTCTGTCTTTTTATCTCCTGTTTTGGTTACTGTCCAGTGGAGAAAGGCCTGGACAGCTTCTGCTGGGAGCAAAGCTGAGCCCAACTCTCAAATGCGTATCTCTTGGGTGATGTGGAGAGAATGGCTTGTCTGGGATGTACATGGGGTGTGTTCTGGGCTCCTGCAGGACTTGGGAATATGGTCAATGTGGGGCACAGATGTGCAGGATATTGGGCCATCTTCCATCTGGTGACATCTCTCGCCATCTCCCTGGGCTCTTAGGACAGTAGAGCTCAGTATGACTGGGTGTGCCCTGAGCTCCGCCTTTTGGTCTGTGCATTTCAGCCTGTACCACCCCAAGTCCTGGACCGTCCAGGTGGGTCTTGTGTCCCTGATGGACAGCCCCGTGCCCTCCCATCTGGTGGAGAAGATAATCTACCACAGCAAATACAAGCCGAAGCGGCTAGGCAATGACATCGCCCTCATGAAACTGGCTGAGCCGCTCACATTTGATGGTATGTCTAGGCTTCTGCGGTATGTCTAGGCTACTGCGGTATGTCTTGACTTTTATGGTATGTCTGGGCTTTTATGTTATATTTTGGCTTCTACCGTATGTCTAGGCTTCTGCGGTATGTCTAGGCTTCTATGGTATGTCTTGTCTCCATGCCAGATGGTTGCTTTTCATTTGTTTTAATAGAATTGGTCAATGCTTGTTGAAGCATCATTACAACGGCTGCTTTACTATCCTTGTCAGAAAATCCCAATGTTTGATTCAGCTGGGTGCTGACATCAGTGCATTGTCTTTGCTCATTGAAGTTGTGTGTGTGTGTGTGCATGTGTGAACATGTGTGTGTATGCACGTGGAGGCCATAGGCAAACACTAACAATGACCTTTACTGTTGTTCCTCAGGGACCTTCCATCTTGCTTTTGAGGGGGAGTAAGGTCTCTCACTGGTCTAGAGTCGCCTAGTAGGCTGACTGGCCCATGAGCCCCAGGGATCTTTCTGTCTCTGCCTCCCCAGCATTAGGTAACAGGCTCAATGCCTTTACATCTGGCTTTACACATGGGTTTCAGAGAGTCAAACTCAGGCCTTCATGTAAGCACTTTATCAACTGAGCCATCTTCCCAGTCCAAGTTTTGTGCCTTCACAGCCTTCCTGATTCTACTCTGGTCTCTCCGTCTGGTGCCAGGTACATGTAAGAGCTTCTCCAGGCCAGGCCAGCTGGTGCCTCTAGGTGGTGGAAGAGAGACACCTGCCCTTAGGGACCAGAGCAGATGGCACATTCCTGTCCTGCTGTTTGCTACATGGAGTCTCTTGTATAGGGCACCTCCAGTGGAAAGAGCAAGGTCCCAGCCTGGGGCAGCTTGAGGGCTTGGCAGGAGTCTACCTCTTCCTCAGCATCTGGAAGGTTCTAGGCATCTTCAGCTCCCTGAGCATTCTTAGAACCAACACCTCCCCTTCTCTCTGATTCTTGTCACCTCCAGTGACAGAGGCTATGAGTTCCACGCTCAGCCCTCTTTTCCCCCACTTCCCCCCCAACACGGAGTGAGCCCTGCTAGAACTCTCCAGCATTCTGTGAGTGACACAATAAGAGAAACGTTGGCTCCATCAGTGAAAGTCCCGACCTGCTAAGGATGGGCGCTGGAGGGCAGGCAGGGCTGTGCGGTCAGCCCGTGTGATTTCCAGCACAACAGAGAGAAGAAGCTGCCTGCCGGGGTGGGGTTGAGGGCTGCCACTTGCTAATTATTTTTGATGGCCTTTGGTTCTAGAAAAAGGAGATGTCTGTTGCTGCACTTGGCTCAACAGTGAAACATGTCTCCACCCCTCCTCATCTTTCTTTTTTCCTTTCCTTTCCTTTCCTTTCCTTTCCTTTCCTTTCCTTTCCTTTCCCTTCCTTCCCCTTCCCTTCCCTCCTTCCCTCCTGCTTTCCTGCCTTCCTTCCTTCTTTTCTTCCTTCCTTTTTTTTCTTTCTTTGTATAATAGTCCTGGCTGGTTGTCCTGGAACTCGCTCTGTCTGTAGACCAGACTGTCCTCAAACTCAGTGAGATTCCCCTGCCTCTGCCTCCCAAGTGCTGGGATGAAAGACATGCACCACCACTGCCCAGCCCCTCCTCACTTCTCTATCACCATATGGACTGGGGGAGGGGCCTCTCAAGAGCTGCTCACGTGAAAGTCCTGGGCACATGTAGTCACTTGGCTTTGCTAGGGCCTCAGTGGCACAGCCTAGGTACAGGCCAGCCTGTTGTCACCACAAACACCAGGGGCAGCAGGAACATCATTCAAAGTCTGGACCAGGAGTGGCCAACTAGAGCCAAAGGCCAAGTGTGACTCAATGCCCATTTGAGCAGTAAAATCTTGTCATAAATCCACCAGCCCCTTTTGCTTACATCTCCTATGTTCCAGCAACAGTGACGACATGTGATCACATAGCCCATAAGCCTGAACCATCTACTGTCTGGGTTTTATAGCCAGCGTTTGCGGCTGGGCTCTGGGCTCACACCACAGTCTAGCACTACCCTCGAGTTTTATAGACTCTGGGGGATGGGTGGGTGGGGCCTCAGCTCTCAGCCAGCTGTCTTCAGTGGCCAAGGCCTAACCCCTCCCTAGGGATGTGTTCAGAGACCTGAACCCAAAGTCAGCTGATTTCTGGGACAGTGACTTCAAGGACTTCACATCATTGTTCCCATTCTAACAGAGACCATCCAGCCCATCTGTCTGCCCAACTCGGAAGAGAACTTTCCTGATGGGAAACTGTGCTGGACATCAGGATGGGGGGCCACGGAGGATGGAGGTCAGTGGTCTGGAGCCAGAGGCTGGTAGGGACCCTCTAGCGTCCTGCTGTGATGTCCCCTCAGGATGCTTGGAGGTTCCAGCCCAGGGTTAGCGCAGACCAACTGTTCACGACAATGGTCTGCTGAGTAACCGTGGGCCACCGTGGTGTTGCTTATCTTCGGACGGCGTGACACTGTGAGGCTTCTCTGGAGAGAAACGGACTGTGAGGGAAAAGTGGGGGTACTGGTCCACAGAGAGGCCTTCAGCCACCGTCTTCCTGCCTCCTTTTAAACTGCAAAGCAAGTGTATAAAGTCCACCTTGATGACCCCCAAGCTTTATCCAGCATGTAGGGTGCAGGGTAAGGAACTGATGTCTGTGAGAGCTGGCAGGGTGAGCTGTTTTCTCCTGGGAGCATGGAATAGAAGGTGCTACCCAGGAGCCTCGATGGCACTGGAAATGGCAGTACTGTCAGCCGTGGTCACAGACCCACTAGAGACGTTTGTGTCCCTTGTGTCAGGAGAGAGTGCTGACTTGATCACAAGGCTCAGAGTTCCCAGCAATGGCTTTCCTTCGTGCATTTTCTAGGCTCAGGCCAGTCTGCTTTCACTAAAAACTGTAGCAAACTACCATGGCCTGGATGACTCCAAAAGCTCAAAGTGCAGAGGCAAGTCCTCTCAGTTCTAAAGCCTGAGATGGAGGTGTCCGCAAGCCTGAGGAGGTGGTGCCTGTCCCGGCATCTCCCCAGCAGCTGGTGACTCTAGCCATTCTCCTCCCCAGCAGCTGGTGACTCTAGCCATTCTCAGGTTCCTTGACTGGCTGATGTGTTTTTCTTCCCGCTCCCCAGTGTGGGTTCTGGTTCTGAGTATTGAACCAATCGCTTTACTGACTGACTCATCTCCTCAGTTCCTTGGTCCCTGTCTCCATGAAGTCCGTTGTTGGATTTAGAGCCTGCCCTACATGCGAGCTGACCTAGTCTTGAGATTGTACTTCAGCAGCCTCTGCAAAGCCTGGTCCAAAGAGGGTCATGTGTCTTGGTTACAGTCAGACAAATAAGAAGAGGGTTGTAATTAACCCATGTAGGAAGTCAGTGTTTCCCCTGGGAGACATTTTCATTCAGGGTCTCACTGCAGCCCAGGCTGTCCAGAAACTCACTATGTAGCCCAGGCTAGCCGTGGACTTCACAGCTACCCTCCTGCCTCAGCCTCCCAAACTCTGGGATTCAGTGCTCAGCTTGTGTTTGTTACCCTTTCCGTTATAGCTCTGACGTCATCAACCAGCCTCAGGGGTTGCTGGGGCTGGCAGGCTTGTTCCTCAGGTGGCTCCGATGACAGCTGCCCCCTGACCTTTGCTTCTCCACTTCTGGGCTGGTGGTCTTATCCTCAGCTTCAAGGCCAATGTGCTGATCTGTTGCTGCGCCCCGCTCCTCTGGTGTTGCCCTCTCCGAGTCTCTGCTAAGCCCTTGTAGTTCTTAGGAGCCTGACCACATCATCAAGGCTGTCTCACACCTGTACCCTTGAACGCCTCCCTGGCTAGTGGCATGTCCACAGGTCCAGGGCCCGTACCTATGTTTGGAGGGGCACATTTCTGCTGACCACATACGTCTCTGTCTAGATATGTGTGACCTTCAGGAGCCTCAGTTTCCCTTTTGTAGTGAGGATTGGCCAGGGTGGGTCAATGGCTTGGCTGGTTGTGGGAAGGAACATATGTCTACTTCTACATTGAGTCTCTTAGGGGAGCAAGGGGCCCTGATGTGGAGGTGAGAACACAGGGCCCACTCAGTAGGGGCACTCTGGGCCCCATCTGCTCCACGACTGTCAGGTGGCATGTCCCTTGCCCCCCCCCCCCCTTTTCTTCTGTCTCTGTCTCCCTGCTTTCTAAGCCAGGCTCCTCACTACACGTTTCTTCATTGCTTTGAGGCAGGTGACGCCTCCCCTGTCCTGAACCACGCGGCTGTCCCGTTAATTTCCAACAAGATCTGCAACCACAGGGATGTATACGGCGGCATCATCTCCCCGTCCATGCTCTGTGCGGGCTATCTGAAAGGCGGTGTGGACAGCTGCCAGGTAAAGGACTGCCAATTACCCCGGGGGCTGTGGCAGCAGGCAAGGGCCCAGTATAGTGACCCAGCCCATGGGACAGGCCACTGCCAGCTTCCCTGTGACTGAACAAAAAGCAAATTTACATGGCACAAGGAAGATATTTGCTTAAGATACCCGTGGCTTTCCTGGTGGCCCGACCTGTGTTTACCCAGGCTCCCAGTCTTCCAGGGAATGGGGCGTTGTCTTCCCTAATCCTCTGCAGCCTCAGGGTGTAGGGGGCCAACCAGAGCCGCAAGCTGGTGTGAGCTGATGGGTCCAGGTTTCCAAAAGCCACAGGGGGTGAGACTGAGTGCCCCCTGTGGCCACAGAATTAGTTCCCCCTCATCCAGACCCTTCTTCTTCCAGCTCTGTGAGCTACACAGGCCACACTTGACCTTCCAAGTTTAGTATTTGGGATCTGGAGGGAGATACAGCTGGAGGGACACCTTCCCACACAGGCAAGGAGCCACCTCTTGAGAATATCAGAATCCATTCTAGAAGTACACGGGGAGAGGCGTGCACGTGGTGTTACCCACTGGCAATTGAAAAGGGAAGTCTGTGTCACCAGCCCAGCATAGCTGCTCAATCCCCTTGCCCTTTTCCTCCTTCTGCTCTCCAGGGAGACAGTGGGGGCCCCCTGGTGTGCCAGGAGAGGAGACTGTGGAAGCTGGTGGGCGCCACAAGCTTTGGCATTGGCTGTGCTGAGGTGAACAAGCCTGGGGTGTATACCCGCATCACCGCCTTCCTGGATTGGATTCACGAGCAGTTGGAGGTGGGTGTGGTGCTCCAGAGGGAGGTGGGTGGAGTGACTCTCCAGCTCACGTGTTCCCTGCACCCAGTGTGACCACAGGGATGGAAAGGATGTTGATTCTGCATTGATTTGGTGACTCTGGGTATCAGTCCTAGAGCACACAGCTAATCCCACGGGTGTTATCCAGGCACACAGGGGAGGGACAGGAAGCGTGAACCTGCTTGACTCAGCAGGAGAAAAACTGACCAGTGGATGAGGTGTCCCCTTGGAATGGGGGTGTGTTTAGGGTGTTATGTGTGCAGGGAGGAGAGGGTAGGTGGGTTGTGTCTGGATGAGGTAGAGCCAGGTGAACCCCCTCTCCAATTGCCCCCGTGGAGTTGATGCTTTGCTGAGAGCCAGAACCGATTTTCTTTTTCTTTTGGTTTTCCTCTGTAGCTTTGGACCCTGTCCTGGAACTCGCTCTGTAGGTCAGGCTGGTCTCGAACTCACAGAGATCGCCTGCCTCTGCCTCCCAACTGCTGGGATTAAAGGCATGTGCCACCACCACCCGGCTATGGAAGAGTTCTTAAGCAAGAGGGGTCTGAGTAGCTTTGCTTCAGGGAGAGGGAAGCAGGACAGGCCTGCAGAGGCCCCTGGTCAGCAAGAGGAAGACACCAGGGAACTGAGGCTCCTGGGCACCAGGCAAAGAGATGTTCCGATAGACACAGGCCTTGCTGTGATGGGTACCAGGTGTCCACAACCCCTCTTCCTCCAAGTGGGAAAGGGCTGCAGGAAGACTAGGCCCAGCTAGGGACCAAGCACTAAGCAAATATTTAATAACTTGATCACAGATTCCTCATGCCACCCCCTCGCCCAGTGTCAAAGACATTTTCTCCTGACTTAATAGGGGTGAAATGATGTCACAGACAAACTCTCAAAAGATGACAGTCCCATGGCATTTGATGCACTAATATGTGCGGCCACCATCTCTGCTCGGTTTCAAAGACCTTCCTATCATCCCAAGGGAAAGCCATGTCCCTTCCTGCCCTCTGGTCTCCAGCAATCAGCTGTGGGCTTCCAAAACCTTTATAAAGGTTGTACTGTATGAGTGTGTCTGGTATTTGACACAGGGCCTTATGAAACCCAGACTGGCCTCTAACTCATTGTGTAGCTGAGGATGACCTTGAACTTCTGATTCTCCTGCCTCTACCTCCCAAGTTTTGGAATAACAGATGTGTACCAACTTACCTGGTTAATGGGATTCTGGGATTCAAACCCAGGGCCTCAGGCATGCTAGGCAGGTACTGTACCACTGAGCTGCACCACAGACTTTACAAAAATTATTATTTATTTAACTAAAGATCTTATTTTAATTTTTTGATGGTCTCTCTCTCTCTCTCTCTCTCTCTCTCTCTCTCTCTCTCTCTCTGTGTGTGTGTGTGTGTGTGTGTGTATTTAAGTACAGTGTCTTCAAAGGTCAGAAGAGGAAGTCAGATAGATTCCCCTGGAACTGTTGCAAACTGCCACTGTGGCTACTTGGAATCAAACCCAAGGCCTCTGTAATATAGAGTAGCCAGTGTTCTTAACCTCTGAGCCATCTCTCCAGTCCTAATTACTATTTCTTCATTATTGGTTCAACTCAAGGTTTTTTCTGTCTTTCTCAATCCCCCACATTCCTTTCTTTCTTCTTCTTCTTTTTTTTTTTCCTTTTTGGTTTTTGAGACAGGGTTTCCCTGTGTACCTCTAGCTGTCCTGGAATTCATTCTGTAGACCAGACTGGCGTTGATTCTGTTGAACTCACAGAGATCGCCTGAGTGCTGGGACTAAAGGTGTGTGCCGCCACCACCCGACTTTCTCTTTCTTTTCAGTACTGAGGCCTGAACTCCAGGTCTTGTGTGCACTAAGTGGGTCTCCACCACTGAGTTACACCCCAGCCCTCTGCTTCTTCGTTCGAATTTCAGCCTTAAATGAGGCAGGACACTGAACACGGTTCCTGTGGGTGGGGGTGAGATAGTGGCAGGTGTGGCCTAGTCTGTTCAGGTCTCAGCATCACTAATCACTCCTGCAGCTTCACTTCCATCTTCTGTGCATGGTGGAGCCCATGGGGCTGGCCCAGCGTATGCCTGGCTGGCTAGTCACAGGCCAGCAGGAAGCCACCAGCTGACACAGTCTGCTGGCACTGTACAGTTAGTACCACAGGCTCTGCTTATTCAGTATAGAGTGTAGCCAACACTTGTCTCCCTTCACTAGCTATGGGCAGGCGATTTCAGCGCAGAGGCCACTGATACCCCGTGCCTGAGACTAGGATGTGGACGGGCCATGTGTACATGGGAGGGGTGGCAAGTGATCAAGGAAACTCAGAAAGCTAGAATGCCTTCCTGCAGCTGCTCCTGGGACACAGGTTCCATGCGACTGAGCTTCTCCTGAAAGTCTAAACCACAGAGGGTGCTGGCGCTTCACACTGTTGAGAAAGGTGGGGCAGCCAGGGGCTCAGACTGGGAAGCCATGGCAGGGATGTGGTCCTAGCCGATGTGCTCTCTGCATTGTGATGGGTCCTACAATCTTCCTCATGATAGGCGGGGATCTTGGACAAGTGAGGGCTCCCAAGTTAGTAAGGACACCTTTGAAGACAGTCAAACGCAGACCAGGACCTCGGTCTGACTCTGCCCAGAGGGATAAACAGATAGTAAACTTCCTTGGCTGTTTGCTAAAACTGTCAGTCTCGCTGGAGATTTGGGGTAGGGACCAGGTGATCTTCATGCTTTGAACATCATTTTAGGAAGGCTGGTGTACCAAGAGTCCCTGGCAATCAGGAAAATGCCTGGCAGCTTCTGGAAGTGTCTGTTCTCGGAGGGGCTTCACTATGGTGGCTGGCTAGGGTTTCTGAGGGTTGCTCGTGCATCTTGGCCATCAGGTGCCTCTGATCACTTAGGACCTGCAGGAGATGTCACCTGACAGACACACCTATTTTTCAGTCTCTTTCCTAGCGGCTCAAGGAAGAGCCAGAAGCCCCTCCCTTCTGTAGGAGGATTTTCAGGTTTGATTTGTCTCACTGGAGGCTCTCCCAGGAGTCCTACCACCCCTGCACACTGTCCCACCTGAGGCCCAGAAGTCTCCACTCCATCATCTTTGTTCTACCCTTCATGTTTCCCTATTTAGTAAGGGCAAAACAAAATTGTTCTGTCTTATATTAGGCCTTAGGAGCATGCAGCTGAGACCTAGCAGTTTGGGGACAATCTCCTAACAGTTTGGGGACCATCTTAGGCAGAGATGAAGAGTGTAGAGGTCTTTCTAGATGGGAGCCATCCAGAGCTAGCAGCATCCTCCCTCAGAGTCCCAGCCCCTCAGTGACCATTGATAACATTTAATGGAAAATCTAGGGGCCCACGGAGTCACAATATTCAAGGCATGGCTTGCAGGGGGAAAATAGTGACCTCTGTTTTGACTTTCAGAGAGACCTGAAGACTTGAAGAATGGGGGACAAACCAGCACCTGAGCTCCCGAGGGTGAATGCAGCCCAAACCTTCCCTGGACTCCTGTGTGGGCATGGTGGATGCGAGTACCAGCGTTTAGTGCTCTGCCCATTGCACTGAGGCAGAGCCAGCAGGAAGAGCATCCTTCTTACCCCTGATACCTGGAGCTGCCTGTTGCTAAAACCTCTGGCCCTTGGGGTGTGGGATGAAATGACCTTAGAACTTTCTGTGCTTCACAGTGACAAAAGCACCCCTACTCTTGCACGTTAGCGGCACCTTTCCCTGCCATCCTCCTCGATTTTCCCCCTCGGAGCCACTGCCAACAGAGGCAACCTTTTATGCAAAACCATTGACACCAGTTGGTGCAGATATGAGGTCAGGAACTGCTGGTGCAGATTGTTGCAGATGGAGTCACCTATTTGTCCTATCCCTGGGTGCCAGTTCTCAACCCAACAGCCTGTTTCAGGAGGTGGGCAGCTTAGCTTGTGAATGACTCAGCCTACGGGTTTGCCCTACTATTTTCTCACAGCGTTTGGTGCTTGATGAGTTACCAGCCCTTGCTTCTGGAAGGTGCCCCTTCTCTCAGCGCGGCTTGTCCTTGGGCTTGAGTGAATGAGTTGTGACGGCTCACAGAAATCGAAATCATGGGCTCACGTCGAAAGCACACCCTGCACATGTCAGGAGTTTGCCTTTTCCTGTTAGAACAGGTTTCTCAGTACATTAGAAGGATCCCTTATCGCACCATAGAGTAAGTGACACAGGTCTGGGAGAAGACAAGACCGGAGAACACCAAAACAAGTCGAATAGGAGGTCCTAAGTCACTGGAGGCTGCCCCATCCCTCCACGCACTCTGCTAATGTACCATTGTTGACAGCGTCTGGGCCTCTCCTGCGTGACCCACAATCCAATGCCCCCACATTACCTAGTTAACAGAGGAGGGTTACATGGGAAGTAGCCATTGGTCATTTGAGCTTATCATAGATTAAGTCTTCAGAAGAATACGAATCAGTTGTTTTGTGGCTGCAACAGAAAATAAATGTGTGTGTGTGTGTGTGTGTGTGTGTGAGAGAGAGAGAGAGAGAGAGACAGAGACAGAGACAGAGACAGAGACAAAGAATGAGTAGGGGTGCTGGGGGGGCATCGCCGAAACAAACTGCCACATAGCCCTTGTGCTTGAACTTAACCCTGTCCAGATCAGAGCCCCCACTCAGATTTCCATGAATAGAATAAATGCCCCAAGAGCCATTGTGAGTGCCCGAATCTTCAGGTAACTCTTAGCCCTATGCTGATGCTTTTTACCCTAAGCACACACCCCTGTAGTGTAGTTCATCTATCAGTCACAGGAGGAGATGGATAGTCATAACTAATAATACAGCACAGCAGTCATAAAAACATATGGTGATCAATACTGAGTGCAAGTGACTTCCTGCCTCCTGAATATCCCACCACACTTCAGTGAGGTGGTATGGGGCTTTTCTCTGCTTTGCCCCAGTTGTAGACGACACCACACTGTGTTTTGTATTTGGAGGTCCTTATCATCAATGGCAGCCCTTACATGCTGTGGCTCCAACAAACCAGATGTCCGGGCCGCATAGACAGCTCAGCAGTTAAGAGCACTGGCTACTCTTGCAGGGACAGAGTCCTGTTCCCAGCTCACAACTGCCTAGAACCCCAGTTTCAGCGTATCTGACACCCTCTTTTCCCTTCAAGACACACATGTACTTATATGTACTTACAGAGACATACACATAAATAAACATAAAATTGATCTTAAAAAATAGACATCTTATTTAGGGATTTATTGCTGTGTGAAACACCATGTCCAAAAGCATCTTAGGGAGGGTTTATTTCATTCACCGTTCCATATAAAAGTTCATTATCAAAGGCAGTGGAGGCAAGAACTCAAACAGGGTAGGAACCTGGAGGTAGGAGCTGATGCGGGGGCCACGAGATGGGTGGGGTAGGAGGGTAAGGGCACTGTTTCCTGGCTTGCTCCTCATGGCTTGCTCAGCCCACTCTCTTATAGAACCCAGGAACCTGAGCCCAGGGGTGGCACCACCCACAATGAGCTGGGCCCACCCCAATCAACCACTCATTAAGAAAATGCCTTACAGACAGATCTTATGGAGGCATTTTCTCAGCTGAGGCTCCGTCCTCTCTGATGACTCTGGCTTGTGTCAAATTGACATAAGCTAGGCAGGATAATAAAGAAAGCAGACATCACAACCGTGGGTAAGTCAAGCCATGTCCTTTACAGCCTTTCCCCTCCAGGCAGAGAGCAGACAGGTGAGGTCTACTTGCGTCTCTCTCTCTCTCCTCTTTGCAGCCACAGGTTCTTTATGCTACAACCTCACCTTCCTACCTAACGATTTCTTGCCCGATTCCTAAACTCGGGCTAGGTCACCAGGGTGGTATGAAACCCTGCCTCCTCCCAACATTTAGGAGCCAGAAACTCCCTCTGATCTCTGAAACTGGAGTCTCTGTCCCTTCAGAACCTTGCCTGCTGCCTTGACTATCTTAGCAAGCCTCCTTGGAAGGGTAATTTGTCTCAGCTCCTAGGCGCAATCTTGTACTATCTTTATTTTATTTTTATACCTGAAACAGTTATGAAGTAAAGAAAGGGACATTTGAATACAAGCATTGCTCTACCAAGACTCTACCCAATAAATGAAGTAACTACAGACTGACAAGTGGGTGGGTAGCGAATACAGTGTGGACACACTGGGTGAAGGCGTGATTTATGTCCTGGGGGATAGAGTGGAAAGACTCGAGGCCTCCTCGTATTCCTCAGACCAGTGTGTAGCCAAAGACTTACCAGGAGTTTATTTCTGGAATTTTTTAATATCTTTGGGTTACAAACAATTGACTTCTAACTGAAACTCTGGAAAGAGAAACCTTAGGTAAGTGCTGAGGATGTTTTCATTTCAGGTGGGCTTTCGCCAAATTCTCTTTGAAAATGCTGCTAGTTTCCACGTGACATATTCAAGCTATGGAATGAGGAGTTTTCCTAAGTGGCCACCTCACTTGAGACTGTCGGACTGTGAGGTTGGCGGAAGGACGTTTCCAGCCTGCTGTGACCTCATCCTTCTCTGGTCACTGTTGTTTTGGTGTTTACAGACTCAGGTCTTGGATAATAAGACAGCACCCAGCTGACCAGCACAGACTGGGTGCCTGGCCCAAGTCCTGCACATTTCAGCATGCTCACCTTTTGTCACTGGATTTCTACAGTGATGTCTGGCTGCTCCCTGGGAGCCATTCTTGGCAGAGTCACCTTTGCTTCCCTCCTCTTGCCCCTCTCCAGGCCTGCTCCCCTCCCCAAATCTGCCCCACTGCAAGGTCTGCTTCCCCTCCCTAACCCCCTTCAAGCCTTTGGTCCCTTCCCTTTTGCCCGGCACTCAAAATTCTAAAGAAGAAACCTGCCTAAAGGATCAATATGGTAACTACTAAATCATATTTCTTTAGATGCACAGAATCTAGAACATCTAGCCGTCTTCACATAGCATAAAACATGCACCTTTTCATAGTCGTTCACAAGAAGCTTGAGAATTTCTGTGAGGTTTGGCTCACAGTACCCTGTGAAGGGAGTGCAGGACTCCTCCCCGGAGCACTCCACTGCAGTGCTCAGGTCAGAAGGAAACAGCTGATGTCAAGACCGCACTGGGAGGCAGCCTCTCTGCTGCTCTCCTCCTCCTTGTAAACCATCAGCTGCGTCCCTGGCTTCACCAAAGCAGACCTCTGAAGACAGTTTTATCTGTTGGCTGCGGTGGTGATCCTTGAGTAAACCTGATTGCATCCCACCAGCTCTTGTCTCCCAAATATTGGCTTTCAAGTGAGATGCCCAGATGTTTGTCTAGGGATACTAAGAGGCAGGACTACTGGGATCCCTCTTCTGTGATGGGGAGTCTAGGGTCTGAGAAGGGATACACTTTCCCAAGACCACACATTGGTTCAGCAATGTATGGCCTCAGAATGGCTCACCATACCAGAAGCAATGAAAGCAGTGTGGAACTGGGCATTTTGACATTCTGCAACCCAGTCAAAGTCATGAGAGACACCCGTGATCCCAGGTCCTGACTGACTTCACCTTCCTCCAGGGCAGTGGACCATAGGCTGAGAACCACGGAGCTGTTGCTTTTATAATAGAGTAGTGGTTCCTGACCTGTGGGTTGTGACCCCAGAGGGGTCACATATCAGATATCTTGCATATCAGATATTTATATTACAGTTCATAACGGTAGCAAAATCACAGTTATAAAGTAGCAACAAAAATAAGTTTGTGGTTGGGGGTCACCACAGCATGAGGAACTGTATTTTAAGGGTTGCAGCATTAGGAAGGCTGAGAACCTCTGCTCTGGGAAAAGACTTGGTCTTCCCCAAAATATGGGCTGGCTCTGGGCAGAGTTCAACAGGGTGGCCATGTTCTTTCCTTTCTGGGAATTGATGTCAAGTGTCTTTCTCTGTCCCTCTCTTACCCGTTCTCTAAAGACAAGCTCTGTCACTGAATCTGGAGTTTGCTGTTTGGTTGCTCAGCAAGTCCTAGCGATTCATTCCTGTTTCTGCCCTGCCCAACTCTGGAGTTACGAGTATGTGTGTCCATGTCCAACTTTTTTTGTTTGTTTTAACACAGGTTCTGGGGATCTGAACTTAGGTCCTCACACTTGTATGGTAAGCATTCTTAGCCACAGTCTTAGTTAGTGTTCTATTGCTGTGAGGAGACACCATCACCACGGCAACTCTTATGAAGGAAATTTTATTTGGGGCTGGCTTACAGTTTCCGAGGTTTAGTCCATTATCATCATGGTGGGAAGCAAGGCAGTGTGCAGACCGACATGGTGCTGGAGAAGGAACTGAGAGTTCTACATCCCAGTTGGCAGGCAGTTTGAAGGGATTGTTATATGACCTGACTTGATGAGCATTTGAGACCTCAAAGCCCACCCCACTGTGACACACTTCCTCTAACAAAGCCACAGGTCCTAATAGTGTCACTCTCTAGGAGCCTACGAGGGCCATTTTGTTCAAACCACCACACCCACCCAGCCATCTGCTCAACTCCTCTGTTACATAAACCTTCAAATGATGTAAACTCAAATCTCTTCAGAGAGACTCCCTCGCTGGGCCTCGTCCTCACCCACATCATAGAAAAGAACGCTTTACTTAGCTTGCTTCAGGTTGCAGCTTAGCACAGACCCCACTGTGTGCAAGCACAGCCTGTGGGGTGCTCAGCACGCAGAGACATGCTGTCCTGCAGCACCTTCCTGAATTGGGGTGTTTTCTAGCTTAGTTGTGCCTTCTGTGAGATTACGTAGACTAGGTTTTTCTCGAAACGCACACACCTCCTCCACATCAGTTACTTATTTGCTGCTGTGGTAGAACGCCATGACCAAGGCGACTTGGGGAATAAGGGTTTATTTTGGATTACGGTTCTAGAGGGATAAGAGTCCATCATGGGAGGAATGCGTGGCAGGAAACACAGGCAGGGCAGCAGGAGCGGATGCTGAGAACTCACATCTTCAAATGCAGTATAAAGCAGAGAGAGAGAGAGAGAGAGAGAGAGAGAGAGAGAGAGAGAGAGAAAGAGAGGGAGAACTGGATTTACCATTCTCTGTTTTCCAGAGAAATCATATAAAATTAGCATTAACTTTAAAACATGAACCTAGAAATCCAACTATGAATTCAATTTCTCTGAAGATTATAGGATTATTTAGAGCAAACTTTTCATATTTGCTGAGTTTAGTAGTTTGTAATTTTTGAAGAATTGGTTTGTTCTTTTTTATCTGACTTCATCATGAGCCAAAACAAGTAATTTTCTCTGATTCTTTAGATGGCTGCAGGGTCTGTAGTGATGTCTGTTGCTGTATTAGTGGTATCAGCTACTTATGTCTTAATCTCTTTTAAATTTTGTCAATTTTAATATAGACTTGTCGATATTATTGATCTTTTTGTTTGTTTTAAGCAAGGTCTCACTTTGTAGCTCTGGCTGGCTTGGAACTCACTATGCGGTCCAGAATGTCCATCTCAAACTCCCAGAGACCTGCCTGCCTCTGTCTCCTGAGCACTGGGATTAAAAGTGTGTGCCACCAAGTCTGGCCCTATTGATTTTTTATCAGTGAATCAGTTATTGATTTGAGAATGTCCTAATTTCTAATATACATTAATGCTATTATACTATCTCACTCCTACTTCAGCTGAGCCCCATGAGTTTTGAAATGAAATGTGTTTTCATGTATATTTAGTTCTATATATTTTTTCAGGTTTTTTTTGAAACACCCTTTACACTTCATGGGTTGTTTAGAAGTTGAGTACTTAATGTACCATGTGTTTATTAGCCCTTCCCCCCATGTTGTTTGATTCTAATTCCCAGTTTGACCCTACTAGTCTGGGAGATTTATGTTACTTTTATTTTGTGACGTGTGTCCTGTGGTCTCATCTCTGTAGGGTCTGTCTTGGAGAGCTGAATTCAGCGGTTGTTGGCTGAAGTGTCCAATACACACCACTTAGGTTTCATCAGGCAGTTCAGCTCTTTGATTTTTTTTCTGCTGATCCTCTACCCAGTCACATTGTTGTTATCAGCTGCTGGGAAGGGACCCTGAAGTCCTCAATGGAATATATACCCATTTCCCCTGCCCCATTTGGACCACATTCAACTGCCTCACGATACTTAGTATAGAGTGTGGGAGGAAAGGCGGGGTCCCTGGAGCTCTGGTCGCAGAAACTAGCTCTCCCTCTCACGGTCGTTTGTTCTGTGTGGGTGTAAAATCCGTTCTTCATTGGAAAAAAAAAAGACCAAAAGTAGCAAAGAAGGCTGCAGAGAAACTATCCGCACTTCCCACTAAAACACATTACAATCATGGAGTCCCCCATGTACCACGATGGTGGCCAAGCCGGGGCCAGCACTGAAGTCCTAGAGTTAGTTGACTCCTGCTCTACATCCTGACTGTGTCCGTCTTTGGGCTCTGAGGCCTGTCTTGTTTGTCTAATGAAGCCTGGTGGTATAGGAAGCAGAGGAGGAGGCTGACAAGAGGCAGCAAGGACAAGACATGAGGTTTAGAGGCCCCATTTTACCGCTGGTAGGCCTGGATAGCTTCTGTCCCCTCATTGGCCCAGGTGGAGTGAGGCTCTGGGATTTATGGGGTGGGGCAAGGAGGACTCACGGGGCAGGACTGGGTGGCTCCACTCACCCGCACCCAATATCTGAGAGATTACAGGAGCTCACCTCTCACCTCAGGTCTGTGTTTGACTTCAGGGAAGGTGTGCGGAAATGGCTGCCATGTAAGCACATCAGCGGGGTGTGGGCCCAAGGAACCCCCCAAAGTCAAACACTAGCCCCGAATCTTGCCTTCTGACTCAGCTGCCAGGAGAGGAAGGTAGCTTCTCTCCTTTTGATTTGGGGAGAACAAAATTGTTGAATTGCATCATAATTCTTTTCTGCGATGACTGTCAATCCTTCACTTCCGGATACTAGGGAAGCGGAAGCCAGAAAGGGCCACGGACCTTCTTTCTCTCATCCTGTCGGCTAACACCTGTGCTGAGTCTTCTCCTTTCCTCTGGGGTTGTTTTAAACCTCAGTGACCTGTTAGTTCCTTTAGATGTAACACAGTAGTATGATGAATCTCCATGTATGATGATAATCCTCCAAGATCTGCAAGTGAGGATTCCAATGCAGGAGGGCACGGGACCTCACTGCCCACACGGGGAGACCAGAGTCAGCTCCAGTCCATGTCTGGAGGATCTGGATGGAGCGCTGGTGGTCTCAGAAGGGCAGCATAATTTTCTTCACTAGGATTTAGATTGCACTGGTTTTGGGTTGCCACCACAAAGTCCCAGGATGGGTCTGTGTCCAGGTTTCTTGTTTTATGGGGAAACATTCACAGCCACCCTTATGCCTCCACCTGAACTCCATTACCTGTGAAGACCTGTTTTCAAATGAGGGCGCTGTGTCAGCTGCTGGTGGTTAAGGCTTCAGGCTGACAGCTTCGCTCTAGGGCAGTGGTTCTCAACCTTATAGTTTCTCATGTAGTGCTGACCCCCAGCCATAACATTATTTTTGTTGCTACTTCATAGGTATAATTTTGCTACTGTTATGAATCATAATATTAATATCTTTGTTTTGGGATGGTCTTAGTCAACCTTTGTGAGGGGCTCGCTTGATGCTCAAAGGGGTCACGACCCACAGGATGAGAACCCCTGCTCTAGGGCCCTTTCTCAGGAACCTAGCCCCCATTCTAGCTGATGAACTCGGGATCCCACATCAAATCTGCCTGGAGCCTTAAGACTTCAGAAAGCTGTCGTGGGCCCCTTCCTAAGTCATTTCTTTTTAAATAGATAAATCTTAGTTTGTTTACTAATTTTAAAATATAGGAATTAAAATTATATACATTTATGATATCTAATACAATATTTCAAAATACCCATGTACAGCTAGACCTGGCAGTCATCCCAGCACCAGGGAGAACAAGTTACAAGTTCAAGGTCAGTGTGAGCTCCATGTGCAAGCCCTGCTGTGTGTGGGTCTCGGCAAACCCCAGAGCCAGCAGAGTAACAAATGGTCCATGTGAGGCAAGAAGAAAATCCAGTACTGTCTGACTTAGTTAGGTGGTGTTGTTTCAGAGTTTTAGAGTCTGACCCCAGGGAGTTTATTTTTGACATATTTAAACACAGTACTACTTTGAAGGTTTCTGAGGAACAATTGTCATAATAAAGTGTAAGGCTTTGCTTACATTAAAACTCCTTGCACAGGATAAGTCTTTGGCAAAGTACATTTGACCTTTTCCATATGGAGGACTTCTACTGACAGAGACGCAATGCTCAGGATAGAGGCCTGGGCAGGAAGAGTCAGGGATCAGCATAATAGTTCTGGGGAATCAGGCGAGGCCTGGCGCTACAGATAACACAGGTCACCAGGCTTTTAACTACATCCCATGCCCGCTCTCCAGCTGGAAAACAGCACACATCCCTTCTGCTGAAGAGACAAGCCTGCGCGTTTAACATTCCTGGCTTCCCTAGCGCTCCCCTGTGCGCACAAGGACCTCGTGCCCTCTACACATACACAACCTCAAACACTACCTCATACGCTACCTCAACACATATGATACCTCAAACACATACAAAACAAACGTGTACCCTGTCAGACAAGTAAGCCAAACTGCTCTTTTATACATGTATTTATATTTTTGCAGGGCTGCTCGTGCGTCACGGTGCCTGTGTGAGGTCGGAAGACAACTTACAGGAGTCACCTCTCTCCCTCCAGTATGTGGGTTCTGGAACTGAAGCTGAGGCCATTGGGCTTGGGGGCAGAACCCTTTACCCACTGGAATCATCCTGCTGGCTCACGCCAAGTTATTTAACATACGTATCGGCAGACAGACTTAGGTTTTGGTGTAGAATTTCCCATGCTAATTTTATCATAAGCACTGCTCCAATGATCTCTTCAGCTTAGGCTTCTCCTGCTTTGACCAGCATGGCCTCAATTCCGCACACCCCCTCCTTCCCACTCCCCGGCCCTCAGAACCATCATTCTGTCCTCTGCTCCAGAGTCCAGCCTTTGGCCACTCCACAGATCTGTGATATTTTGCGGATCTGTGAGAGCGTGCAGTGTCTCTGTGTGACCGTCCGTGCCTGACTCATTTCGTGGAGCACAACAAGACTATTTCACAGCGTCGTCTGGAGACTTCCGTAGATGAAGGCTGCTCCACTTCAGTCTGGGGTAGGGGGCGGTTTCTGGGGTGTGAATCTAAGCTTAGGCTCTAACACCCCATCTTTGACTCCCAGTTTCATGTCCTCCTCACTAAAGTTGAGATCTTGGGGTGAGTGAACTGGATATGATGTATACCCCTGGCCCCCGTCTCCCTGCCCATGGCTGTCCTGCCTGTGACCCCTTGCCGACGATTTGCCTTGTTCTTGGGGACCTTCTTAGAGCTGTTTCTTCCTTCTTCCAGAAAGCTTGCAGAAGTCTCTCAGAAGAAGCTCTTCCTGGATCCCTTGGAAGGGGTATTGCGGCAATAGGCCCTTCCTGCGGTCCCTTGCTGTGAGTCTGAGGAAGCAATGTTAGTCCAGAAGGAGGGCTTTACTAATACCACCTGGATCTGGATCAAGGCCATGTCAGGGGAGACACACTGGCTACTCCCCAGTGTATCTCATGAGAGGGACTGCCCTTCCTCTATCAGCACTCTCAGCCCGTGACTACATCTCAGAAACACCTTGTAATCTTACTCAGCGTGGAGCCTCCTTTGGCAAATGCTTTCTCACTCTCAGCAAATAGGCCGGCGGTATAAAGCCAAGAACTCGGGCAGAGGCTCATTGGTCACTCGTGGTCTTCCTGTGAAGCTGCCATGGAGCACAAGGTGACCTGTGTCCTCGCTGTGGTCCTCATGCTGGCCCTCAGCAGCCTCGCCCAGGACCAGGAAAGTAAGTTGACTCCTCTTGCTTTCTGTTGGCCACAGCCATAGACACTGGGCCCAGGGCCTTGAAGGTCATTACCCTGTTTATAAGATTCCCCAAAGCAGGGAAGTGGGGAGCAGTGGAGTGGGGCCCCAGGGCCTCCGAGAGTGTCGGGAGAATGGAGCCTCTGCACTGAGCTCCCTCTTCCCCTGTCGATGTCAGTGTTGCATTGTTCTTAGAGTCTTAGCTCCAAATGCAACATTTGGTGTGGTTTAGAGTGAGCCCATCACTTCCAGATGCCCCTGCCAGCCTCTCCCTGGCAGGTAGCCTTGCCCAAGTCCTTGGGACTGGGCCTTCTAGAGATCTATCCATATCCTGGTCCCCTGGGTCCCTAGGATGCATCCAACTCCAGAATCCAACTCTCTCCTGAAGTCCTGTTTCATCCACCTGGCTTTCATCCCTCCTTGTGACCCGTGACTTTGTCTCAGCTGCTTTGCCTGATTCGTGGGTTTCAACAACAGGTGTGTGACAGTGGCCCAGATATGTGACAGTGGCCACGTGGGAGCTGTGCTTCTCTGGCTGTAAAGGTCTTGGTTCTTAGACACAGCATTAAGGGAGAGGGAACAGGACAGTTTTCAAGTCAAGGATTTCTATGGACATGAGAAAAGAGTTAAGGGCACTCTGCTCACCTTCCAGCATCTTCTGTGCCTCTTGAGTGGGAACCGATCGTTGGGAGAACAGGGAGGCAGGGGTACCTAGACCCCTCTGTTGGTACCAACCTGTGGCCAGGAACAAGGAGCCAGCAGGGGTGATCCTGAGGGAGAAAAGACTGCAGTAGATGGTGAAGGGCGAGGGGTGCCTCTCTCTGCTGCTTTTGCTCCCTCCAGCCCCCCACTTCCATCTGTCATGCAATCTCCCTGCTTTCCTCTGCCCCATTCCCTGGACCAGGGTCACATAGTGTCCTTGACCCTGTTTCCATAGAGATAGATCTGTAGATATATAAAGATATCCTATAGAATAGAGTGGCTGTCTGTGCCAATCCTATAGGGAGCTTGCTTTCAATAATTTTCTCTTGTGACCACAAATGTGTGAGCCAGACAGAGATCTGTAAATCCTGCTGGGGAAGAAAGGGAGTTGGAAGCCACAGGTGAGGAGAAACATCCCTCCCGCTCCTGGCTGCTGATTCTCCATGGCTTAAGAACCTGGGACCCCTACTGTCCAGTAGTCATCTTAGCTTTATAACACTTTATAACAGGCCACCAGCAAGTGGATGGTAGGTCCCGCTCTTATTCTGAAAGACAGGAACTGATTCTTCAGGAACGCTTCAGTAGATCCCCACACAAGCAAACAGCCCTGGGAGTGGGCTCTGATGGACGCCCAGGCCTCTGGACTCTGATCTGTGCCTGGGACACCTATGTCATCTGCTCAGCCTCCTCTAATGGGAAGCTGTCCCTGCTTCGTTCAGTCTTATGGTCCTCCGCCACTCCTCACCTGCTCCCCCTCCCCACCCCAGCACAAGAGCTACCACCATCCCCGGGGTTAATCCTCCACACTCTGGGATGATTGTGCTGTGTGGTTCACATCCTCCATGGGGCTGTTAGCCTCTGAATCCAGGTCTAGGGGTAGAGGGTTGGACCTGAACGTCTGGCAAGGGGGTCCTCTTTTACTCGGCTGTTTGTCGAATCTGAAGCAAAGATACATACATCCTTGGGAATGTTCACCAGCTTCTTGGCACAAAAGGAAGGAGACAGCAGGACCCCTGTTTTCATTTATGTATTCTGCCACCAGGCAGTGCCTGGCTTTTGCCCAGTCAGTTCCTACATGTAGCCAGGATACATACCGCTCAGCAAATGCTTATTCATTAGGCGAGTACAGTTCACTGACCAAGCGCAGACGTTAGTAAGTGGACGGTACATCTATCACCTAGCAGGTGCAGCTGTGCAAAGCTGGGCCCTGGAACTGTCCCCCAGGTCCAGTCCTCCCGCATCTGCAAACGAGGACCATATCCTCTTGTATATTCAAACCTGGCTGCTAGTAGGTCAGGTCCCGTTTCCTCTGAGGAGAAAGCTATGTGGACAACTTCAGGAATCTAGCCCATAATTTTCCTCTGCTTTTTACCTTTACCGTAGAAACATGTACTGTGAGCCCTGGGGAAAGAGAAAATTGTGGCTTCCCTGGCGTCACCGCCACACAGTGCAAGGAAAGACATTGCTGTTTTGATGACAGTGTCCGGGGATTTCCATGGTGCTTCCATCCTATGCCCATCGAAAACCCTCCAGAAGGTACAGTCGCTTCTCAACGCAGTAAGGGATGAGGGGTTAGTTAGTAGGGAGAACTAAATGAGACTAGGTGTTACTGACGGTCCCTGGATGCCTGTGACATGGCTGAATCCTGGTCTATGGGTGAAAGGTCAGGGCTGAAACTCTGGCAAGGGAGGGACCTGCTTTTACTTAACAGTTTGTCTGAAGCCAAACTACATCCTTGGGAAAGCTTATTGGAGCAGGAGTGAAGGGGATGGCAAGACAATGCCCCAAGACAGCTTCTCTGTGTGCACTTGTGTAAGTGGCCATGTGCACACAGGGGCACGTGTACACATGTATGCATGTGTGGAGGCCAGAGGTCAACCTCATATGTCATTATTACTCAGGAGCCATCCGCCTTCCTTCTTAAGATGGGATCTCTCATTGGGATAAGCAGATGGGCTAGCCAGCAAGCCTTGGGGACCCTCCTGTCTCCGTCTCCTCAGTACAGGGATTATAAGCATTTACCACAGTGGTCTTATGTGGACCTGGGAATTGAACTCAGGTCCTCTTGCTTGCAAGGTGAGCACTTGGCCAACTGAGCCATTTCCCCAGTCCTGACAGTTTGTGTTTCACGAAGAAATTTCCTATTAATACTTCGAGTCAAAGTTTCCTACAGTTGTTGAAAGAGAAAGACATCACTCATGAGTACCTTTGTCTGTTCTTCTCCCTTTAGAGGAATGTGCCTTCTAGAGTCCATCCGAGAGAGCTGGTTACATCAAGACTTGGCACCACCACCCATATCTGGACACTGAAGCCATCTGATCCAGCCACTGGATATACACCTGTTCTGTGGCTGGATCTGGCCTGGTGACATAGTTCAACCTCTCTGACCTTTAGAACTCAAATTTGGCCTGAGAATTAAAAGACATGAACGTTATTCTGTGTTCTTCGTTTTTTTTTTTTTTTAAAAAAAACAAGCCATTTTCCTCTCTTTGATAGTCAAATGCAATATTCTGCTCGATGACGCTTTGTCATGGACCAACTCTTAGCTGGAACTGTCCAGAGGAGGCAGGACTGGGTAGCTGGGAGGGTGAAATGACATATCCTATAGCTGGTGCAGGATTGCTTGTTATCATTGGTGTCGAGACCGAGGGCAGAGGCTGAGGGGCCTCACAAGCTTCCAGCACAAGCACTCCATGAGTGCTCCACCATGAGTGGTCCTCAGACATCCAGGGGAGGAGGGACTGATCAAGGGCTGAGACCCATCTTCCAATGCCACTAGAGATATTGTAAACTCTAACAAACCAGGATCAGTCTCTGGTCCTCAGGAGGAGCGCTAAAGCCACAACAACGAAAAAAGCAGAAGAAAGAGGTTCATTTAGTGTAGCCACACTGGGAAGAAGAACAAGGAGATCTAGTGGCCCTCCATCCCTAGTCTATCTTTGGAACCCTGACAGGAAGCTTAGGCTTAAATAGAGGGCAAGAAGTAGACATAGCTAAGCAATATGGTCAAAGTGTGGTTCCATTCGCCATCTTGTCTGGGCTCCAAGGTGGTCTGTCAGGTTGTAAATCTCCTCCAAGGAGACAAGACCCTGGCTTGGCTAGTGTCAGCTTCAGCCTTTCCTTCCCCCACATGAGGTTCCTGGAGGGAATTCCAATTTCTTGGGGGTGTATTTCTTAATCAACACCAAATGAAAGGGCACAGTTGTCTCTTTCCAATATCTTCGCTTCTGCGAGGGCAGCCACACTAATGCCTTTACTACCTCTAACAGAAGCTGGCTTAGGATGTGAGCCCACAGCCACATGTCTGAATGAGTTAATGAAAGGATGGTGTGGTCACGCATCAAACCCACCCCCAGCAAACAAATGAACTGGAAATTAGAATAAGAGTCAAAAGATACAGAGACTCTGTAAACAGAGATTGCACATTCACTCCCGGCCGCCCAGATCTGAATAATCACAGAGAAACTATATTAATTACAACACTGTTTGACTAAGGCATATTTTTAGCTAGCTCGTCCATCTTAAACTAACCCACTTCTATTAATCTCTGTATCGCCACAAGACTGCAAGACTGTGACTTACCAGGTAAGGTTCTGGCGTCTGCCTCCTTTGGCAGCTACACAGCATCTCTTTGGTTCTGCTTTCTCTCTCTCTCTCTCTCATATATATATATATATATATATATATATATATATATATATATATATATGTTACATCCACGGCTGTCTCGCCAGTGTAGCAGAAATGCTGACTGGATGGGCAAATATTGCCGGCAGGAGTGGGATTTGTGCTTTTCGGAGCTGTGTGTTCCAGGCGGTCCCTTGGCAGTCAGTTGTGGTGTAATGCTACCTGAGTCGCCATTAGTACTGACTTGACCTGGCTGTCCTTGGAGCCATATGTCTGTCTTTTCCCCTTGCCTGTGTGTTCTTTGTGATTCTTGCATATTGCTAACAGATCAGACTATTCCAGGCAGTTGCGGATACAAACAAGACTGCTAAGGACATTTTTGAATTCTGCTCCACTATTAATTAAAGCCTTAAAAAAGTAGCCAGTTCTGGGAATTGCCAGAATCATCATTAGGACAATTCCTTGATGATGTGGAATAAAAGGAGTTAATTTTACTAGGAAAAACCTTAGAAGCCTTCTACAGAAAAACAGTAATAGACATTACTGCAATTCAACAGGAGGCCTATGCAGCCTTCCTTATGGCCAGAAAACCTAGGCTGATAACAACACCTGAGCATCAGGAAGGGAGGAGAGTTGAGATCATGTCTTAGAAATTTCCTAGCAGAAAGTTTTCTCAGAAAGATAGTAGCCTTCTTCTTTCCCACCCAGGCGCACAAGGTCACCTAGCTCAGACCAGCTGGCCACCTGGTGTAAGCTGATAAAGAAGACCTAACTCAAGAACAGTGGTCTCTCTAATAACAAGAAAAAAAGGGCTGACTTAACAGAATATGAGGGAGCAAAAGTCCTTGTACCCATGCCAAAGCATCTTCAAAGATTCTCTTTGTAGAACTGTTTTGTGCTGATCCTTTCTATTTTATAATCTGATGATGTATGCCTTTACCAAGTTCTTTGTTTGATTAAGATATAAAAACCTCACACTGAAAGAATAAACTTGCAGCAGTATGTCTCATTAAGAGTGACTGTCTGTCAATTTCCTCGCCATATCCTGATTTCTTCTGTGCCTTCGCCCTGATTCCCCATGGTCTGAGTGGTTCCCCCGAGCCGGTCCGTGGCATATATATATATATTTCTCTACTCAGATTTCCCACCTGGCTTTACTCTGCTAAGCCATTGGCTGAAACAGTTTTATTCACCAACCAATAAAGGCAACACATATACAGAAGGACATCCCACATCAACTCAAGTTCCTTCTCACCTTAGTTTCAACACAGTGCAAATAATGGAACACAATGCCATCCATAGCTGCCAATGCCACTGCCAGCCTAGTATGGCCCTGAGAGATGAGTAGCCTCATGGAGGAGGGACCACAGGGCCACTAGTTCTAAGGGCTTTCATGGAGTGAGGGAAGGAGCCTTTTGAAGGCAGCCAGCCCCCTCCAGGGAGCACAGCTAAGGAGGCTGGGGCTCTGGGTCCATCTTCCCATAGGACTCTTAAGTGTTTATTGTACATGGTTCCCAGAAAGAAGAAAGGAGGACTGGATGCTGTGCCCCCTACCCCATGTTAGTCAGACATCAGGATGAGGAGCGCAGAAATGAGAACAGCCAGGAGAAATACTTGGGACTGGAGCCTGTCCCCTTTAACAAGTGCACACAGTCATCCTTCAGTGTCTCTGGGAGACAAGCTCTAGAAGCTTCCAAAGACAACACAGTCTGTGAACTCTCAATACGCTTAGGTGAGATGGTGGGGTAAACTGCACACAGCCTACATAGTCCTCTTACACGGATGAGATCACCTGTCACTCAAAATAGCAACAGTGGAAGTGTGTCCTAAACAACAGTATCACCACGTCTTCTGGGGAAACCAGAAGAAAAGGCTTCTGCGCATGCGCAGACTCAGCGCTCGTGGATCCTGGCAGCCGACAGCACCCATGCTCTGAAATCGTGTGTTCCGTATTGTGCGTGTGCCGTTAGGATCAGAGAGATATTCCTTGCCATTAGGATCAGAGAGATGCTCCTTCTCTGTCTAGTATGTCCGCATTAGCTATTTATCTTGTTGCTGTTAGCAAAACACCTAACAAAAGCCACTTAAGGAAAGGAGAGCTTTGCTTGGGCTAGCAGTTGCGGGGCACACAGCCCGTCATGGTGGAAAAGGCACAGGTGTGCAAGCTTGAGGAGTCGTGTAGCACGCACAGTCAGGAAGCAGAGAGACTGCATGCTGCTGCCCACCCAGCTTTTTTCTTCCTATTCAGTCCAGGACTTGCCTGGAGAATGGTGTCTCTCACAGTTATAGTAGGGCTTCCCACGTTGGTTAACCTAATCTTGAAACTTCCTCACGGGCGTGCCCAGAGACTTGTTTCCATGGTGATTCTAAATCCTGTCAAGTTGACAATTACTTTTTTATTGCTGTCTGACCAAGGCAATTTATAGAAGGAAAAGTTTGTTGGGCTTACGTTTCCAGAGGGATGTGTCTACCACGGCAGGTTGGCATAGCAGCAAGCTGCCGGCTTGGTGTCCGGGGCTCCCATCTTCAAAGGCAAGCGAGAAACAGAGGGAACAAACCGGAAGTGGCCCCAGGCTTTTAATTTCAAGTGTTGTGCTTCCTTCAGCAAAGCTGTGCCCACCTCCTAAACCTCCCCAAAGACTGACACCAACTAGGGACCAAGTGTCCTAACATCCAAAAGGGGGACATCTCATTCAAGTCACCGCAGCCTCTGCTGCTGGCGAGAGGTGAACTGTCTTCGGTAGGATCCCATAAACCTCAGATTGGGAATAATCTGCCCAGCTTCTTTGGGGCACAGTCCTGGGACAAAGTGCTGAGGGTCTGCACCATGTCCCTACCTCCCATATTTTGCTGAGCCGTGCATGAGGTGACAGCTCCAGTGTCGTCTAAGGCCCAGCCAGCAGGTACGCCTCGTGCTGTCTCCCCCAGCCACGCTTCAGTGGCGAGAAGGGGCTCCCCATGACGTCTCGCAGTTGGTCTGGTCCCTGGGTGCTCATGTCCCACACCTCCCCTCCGTTCTCACCTAGCTCTCACTCATGGAGAATGAGGAAAAACACCCCCTTTCCAAACCCTCTCAGCTAGAGGGAGTCCTGATCCAAGGGGGTGTCTGTGTGAAGGCTGTGGGGAAGGAACTTTGGAATTTTCTACCTTGTTGGGGAGAGAGAGAGAGAGAGAGAGAGAGAGAGAGAGAGAGAGAATTTCCAAGAATTTCCCACCTCTGGCTCCCTGGACAGCCCTGAAGCCTGCCTTTGGCTGCTATGGCATGAAGGTATAATATGTTGTAGGCAGCCATTCTGTGATAATGAGGAAGAGTCCAGAGCTACAGCCTGACCTTCTCTGAGCTGTTGCAAAATAGATGGGATTGTGTTTTCTTTTGCATAGGGCCAGTGTGTCGGCTTCCTACACTCAAGCACCTTGAAGGGTCTGATGGTGCAGACTCAGGGTGAACGTGGGAGAAGACTTTGGGGTTTTTTTTTAGACTGTAGAGCTTGTGCAGAAAAGGAAGCTGAAACTGACCTAAGCTGGAGCCACCACACCTTTGAAAGGCACAATCACACAGCAAGCTGAGCAGCTGATGGCATTCGACACTCTGATTCCTTAGGACTGGACACACTCAGTACAGACCCTCATTTGAGAGGCTGGAATGCACTGTTTGCATCCTGGTCTGCCTGCTCATGGGACCTGTGCTATGCGGAGTCCTCCTTCCAAGGCTGATGTGAGAGTCTCTACTCCCAAGAAACAGTGTT